CATTTCCTAAAGCGGTTGAACTCGCGGCCACCATCTAGGTGCCAGGTGGCCACGTATCGGCCGACCATATTCTTGTGTTCCATATTCATCCTGATCAGCTCGTCGGAGGCGTCATCTTTGTGTTTAAGCATGGCCGTCCTCACTAAGCGAGTAGCGTTGTTGACCATGAGTAGAAAGTAGTTGAATCCGCCATGACCAATCGGGGTCACCTTTTGGATGTCTGCATGCCAGAGCTGTGTTGGATCATTAGTCTTTGGGATTGGGTCCCTTGAAACGAGGCGTGTGGCCTTGCCTAGCGAGCATGCTTCGCACTCTAGGGTGTCCCTGTGTTCGAGTTCAATTTGATGATCCTTTGCAGTGGTAGCGATTCGGCGGAATCCTGCGTGCCCGTATCGCCGGTGCAAGAGTAGGGGGTCCACTGCCGCTAGCGCTAGGTCAGGGTCTTTTGTCCTGACGAAAAGCACGTTTTTCGATGCCTGCAGGTGGCCGACGATCTTGTCATCCCGGTCCCTGCGTAGGGTCAGGTCCTTAGTGGTAGCGTAGATGCCAAGGTCTGTACGTAGGCGGTTGGAAGAAAGGAGCCCGTAGGGTAGGTCCGGTTGGTGGTAGGCCTTGATCTTCAACACCGTATTTTGGCCGTTTGCAGCTAGGGTCAGGGTCAGATACCCTGCCGATTTTGCAACACCGATTCCCCCGTTCGAGGTGCCATATTGGTAGTATTCGTGGGGTTTCAATTGGTGGAGACCGCTTAGGGAAGCGCAGTCAGGTGTTAGATGCTGTGAGCTGCCTGTATCATATATCCAGCGTAGCGAGGTGTTCGTGGCGTTTGCAACGGCTAGGCCAGAAAAATTCAAAATATACGGGTTTTCGTCATCGGATCCTATTTCGCCTACCGCTGCATTTGATGCTTCGCTAGGCTTCGATCCTTTGAACCACCAGATGCCTTCTATACGAGGCCTATAATCCTCTGGCCGGAGGTCAGGATTCAAGCGCCAGCAGGTGGTTGCTCCATGGCCTAGTGTCTTACAGAAAGCGCAGCGTCCCTTAGTCATCTCTGGCTTCAAGTTTCGCATCTTTCTAGCGTGTTCCTCAGGGGTCGTTCCTTTCGGTGGGAATGTTGATTTCTTCCACTCTGAGGTCGTTGCAGTGCTTCCCGACTTGGTGGTGCTTCCAGTGTTCTTCGCTGGCGCAGCGAAAGAATATCTTTGCATTTGTTTATTACCTTGTTCGATTGCGGTCCTGCAGTAAACTAGAAACTCTTTCTCCTGGAGGGTGTCCGCAGCATTATCAGGCAAATTGCACTCCACTGTTGACACCCACGTTGGAAGGTCGGATTCCAGCTCTTTGAGCAGGTGTAGCAACCCGCAGTATGGTGATATCCCGACTTTCAACTCTTTAGCGAAGTTGTATGCGTGTTTGAACGCCTCCACGTATTGTTCAACGGTAGAGTAGTCGGATCGGCGTTTGTGGATGAGGTCGAAGTACGTTGTTTGGCAAAGCGTGTGGCCGTGGCCTAGGACGAGTGATTTGATGACTTCGTAGGCATCGTCCGCGTAGTCGTGCGCGTCAGGGGACGTCATCAGTGCCCTCTTTAGGGGGTCTGACAGCTGGCTAGCTAGCCAGGACTGGATGTTGATTGACAGGTGGTGCCATAGCCAGTAATTCGTGTGGTTTGTACTAGGATGGGATAGACCCTTGTCGATCATGTCTTGTAGACCGACGTTCTTCAGGATTTGACATATTTCAAAGCGCCACGTTGAGTAGTCTTCTCGCCCTTTCAACCTTTCAGATACGGGTTGAACGCCTTCTGGTAGCTTTACTGGAAGCCTATCTGCTTGTGTCTTTGGTTGTATGGCTACTGCCTCTGTATTCGAGACATGTTGTAAAGAGTGGTATCTGCCTGGTTGCGACATTCTGGGGTCTGCTTCCGGCGGTTGAATATTTTGATATTCGCGGTGTTTTGGTGTTTTGAGATAGGGGTATCGCGGTGCGTGTCCCCGTTGCAATTGCGGCTTGCTTCGTGTGTATGGTGGCTCAGATCTTTGCTGGTTAGCCTCACGAGCGAAGAGCCGGGCTCATAACCTGTTGAAACGACGTTTTAGGTCAATACTGAAGTCGTTGAAAACGCTTGATTCTTCGCTATCTAGGCGCGCTCGGAGGAGCAGTTGAAGTTACGGAGTTCGGGTCACGTGACCTCGACTACTAGTAATCTACTGAGATTACGTTCCAACATAATATAAGACCTAGAAAGCACAGCAGGTGGATGACTTGGCAGAATTTGGCAACATGCACACATGGCTCTTGGTGCTGATGGGGCACTGAGTAATGGCATCATAGTTTTCGGAAGTGAGACCTGAACATCGTCTACTATGACTTCTTGTAAGTATTATGAGCTGATAATGTATGAAAGGGAAACATCAAACCTATCGATTCGGCCACTGATAGTCACGCCAGTAAAGGCCTCCTTTCCAGGTTACAAGGTAGTATGTGGTTTCGTAAAGAAGGTAGACTTCTCCGAGAAAGATCGGGAGTTTAGAGATCGAAGGACCAAGGACACGAATGGTTTGTCTGATTAGCGTTGCCCCATATTCGTCCTGGTAGAATCCTGAGTTGCAAGAAGTCATGTTGCCACTGCTCTCAGATTGTGGAAATAAAGTGGGCTTGGAGTTAAGGTTCAGGATAATGGCGCAAAATGTGAGACCTACTCAGTGTATTTCTGGCCTAACGCCCGCTTGTACTAGCCGAGAACCACGGATCTGTGGAGGCGCATACTGAGACAAATGCATGTACCGTCACGCTTGCTGAAGATTGAATGGAAGGCTGCTAAAAAGTCTTCCGCTGACAGAAGAAGTAGCAATGACTAAATCCCACCCTACTACGAGAAATGAACAGAAAAGAGCGGACAGTATAGTTAGTAGCCGGTTAATATGATTTCATGGTCCTCATGAGACAGCTATAGTCACTGAGCTTCTGCTAAACTATGCGGCACCTTTGAAGGGGCTGGTAGTATCATTAGCAGGTCGGCACTATAAATTTATGTCAACGGACATACTCACGAGATATCTGCCGAAGAGTTCGTGGAAAGAGCCAAGGGTAATACCAAATCCTCCAAGGAAGCCGGCCTGCCGATGTAAGCAAGATGTCAAATAGTTTTCAATATGAGAGACCTGAATACTTACGCAGGCAACAAACGAAACTCTCGAAGAAAGAAAGATAAGAGAGCAAGACAAGGAGAGTAAATAACAAATTAATATGTTCTCTCATACGAATGAACAACATAAAGCGAAGCAGACTTTCCGCTGCAGCAACAATAAAATGTTAGGGAAAGAAAATTGCATACAACTCCGTACGTAGTTAAGTAGATAGACCATGGGATGAATCAAATACCCCAATCATTGCTCCCATAGTGCTGCAAACCACACACAGGAAAATTACAACAAAGTATAAGGAATATTGATCCGTTTTCGTCTCCATTCCATGTGGATAACATCATACTACGACTGAGTTCACTGACTCACGGTATGAGAAAAAAAGTGAAGAGGAGGTGTTGAGAATGAGCATCATGATTGGTTATGATTGAATGAGTGTGTTGGCCTACGGGAGAAACTCATTGACTCGTCTCCCAGACTATCCTGCGCGCATTTGCACAGCATCTTCTTGAACTCTTTCGGGCCCTCCCGCCATAACCGCGCGGCCTCGACATTGGCGGGCCTTTCGTCGTTAGTCAGCTAGGATCATAGCGGAAGGGAGCAGCAGAGGGATCATAAGAATTGGCGACGCGATACTAAACACACAAGAAAGAAGAAGTAAAGGGGGAGAAGAAAAGAGAAACACAGGACGAAGATGGAGATGGTGCTTGTCTTCACAGAAGCCTCGCCCCGACTTCTCGGAGAGATTAACCGTGATACTGGAGCGGATTCTCAAATTAGAACGACACTCTTCTCACTGAGCTGGATGCGAGCTTGCTAGCGGTGGAGGGACATTTTGAAGAAAGCGTCAACGTGGACCACGTGAGTTGGATCAACCACCACGCTCTCGAACTTATCGGCATAACCACCTGGGTTAGTTCTTTACGATGTTTGGAGGGTTTACAGTACCATCCGTGGGTACAAACAGTGTCAACTCAAGGCCGCTATTATCGCCAAGTCAATGAAGTCTTATCCTCTGCTTTCACTAGCTACTCATAGCCATTACTTTTGTGGATGCCTTGAAATCCGGCATGAAGATGTGGAATGTCAGGGGCGAGGGAATGCTGAGGGGGTGGCCGCCAGTTCTACTACTCGATCGGGCTTTGTGGGAACGAAGATTGCTTCAAAGGCCATGACCCATGAAGAGATGAGGGTCAGTCAGATAATCGTTATCGCCACATGGAAGAAGTCAGTCACCACCCTCATCACCGGTATTATAAATTACCTCATGCGAGAGAAGGACCAGAAGATCCTATATATATTGGTGGCGCAACGATAGCCAGCCAATTCATGCCGGAAGAGCTGATAGTCTCCATCCCTCTGTTTGCCTCTTACCGCGCGGTGCGCAATTTCACCAGCCTGAATGAGTTTGTGCTGATGCGGTGGTTGCGAAAGGACGAGCCATTTCATGGGAATAGTGCTAGGCAGAAAGAAGCGTTCAATTAATCTTCGTTGGATTCGCCTTATGGTCCTGGAAAGAATAGAGTGTGTATGGAGTTTAAAGATCATTCTGACGCGACTTTCGTGGAGGTATGGTCCTACGGCTGGGGAGTTGCCGGTCTGGGAGAAGCAAGAGGTTTGATGGTATGGGGAGAAGAAACCGCCTGTTGTGAGGGTTGGACGGGGTCAGTATCGGGCTATCTTACGTGCAACCCCTTAGGCATACACTTACCAGGGCCTGGGACTTTTGGGTCAGGGGTAAGGTATATTATTATTAGGGAATAATATATCCCATCTCAGTACTATAACCCAATTTGCGGTATCCAAATCATCCAAATCCTCCCCTAGTTAAGCAGACAATCCCACATCCCCTCAAGAACTCCCAGCTACGGCGCTAACCGGCGCAACACCGGGGAAGAACGAAGCCGGGGTAGTAGGGGTAGGAATAGACGCCGTTGTACCAAACGCGGTGGCCAAATCATCAGCCATAGTGGGCGCCTCGTATCCTGTTGAAGCAGAGTTCCCATAAGTAGTGGTTGTGTAAGTAGTCAAGGTGCTAGTAGCAGAGTCAAGGCAGTAGCCCTATCCGCAAGCAATCGCGCAGTAGTATTCATCGTAACGACCTTCCTCAACCAACAAGTCAATCTGGACGAGCGTGATCTCGGTACAGGGCATGTCTTCAGGGCAGATGACCCGAATAGGCGGCCGAGTTTCACCGTCGATGGCGGTCCCCGTCCAATTATAAATTGTGATGTTGTGATAGTAGATGCCGACGCCGTCGATAGCGTTCATGCTGCTCCAGTAACTATCGAGGTCGAGGGAGTTGACGTTTCCGTGGCCTATTCTATCATTAGGTTGTGTGTCGTGGAAGGGTAAGGAAGATATAAGGTTATGTACCGATGAAATTCTCAAACACTATGTTGGATACATTGCCTAAGCCACCGTTGGTCTTGATCATCATCATTTGGTTCGAGTCCCAGGTGTAGACGTTGCGGTAGAGGATGTTGGTGACGTTGACACTGGAACCCAGGGATCCGATGGCGCATCCGCCACTGGGGTTGCAGTAAATATTCTCGATCAGGAAGTTGTGGGAGTTTGGTCTGTTGCAGTTTGGATTAGTACATCCGCAGTTGCGAGGTAATGCGATCCACCTACCTTGCTAGTGACACATTCATCCTTGTTGGTGACCATTACCTGCCGTCGCATTAGCGTTTCCTGAAATCGAATGCACGTTCAGGAGAAGCGGCACTAAATGAATCCAGATGTTGCCACCGTACAAATCAATGCCATCCAGACCACCGTGATCACCACCACAGATAGCCATATTGTACGCTTCTCCATTGTAACCGCCGTCAATGACAAAGTGGGGCATAGGCGAGTTGACCAATACCAGGTCATGAACGGTCCAATCCGACACCCGGAAATGTACAGCATCCGGGGACTAGTGTACGTATTATGTCGGTGGTAAAGGTAACCGCTACCTTGAATTGCACCCGTTGCATTTGAACTAGAAAGCTCAGAGTCACTGCCACCGGTTATCGCGAATATGTACGACTGGGCGGAAGGCGAGGAGTCCCAGTGGAGCACGCCATCGAGCTGGATAGACCACGCGGAGCCGTTTTCCGAAGAGACCCAGTCTTTCAAAAGATAGTCACCCTCAGGGACGTGAATGAGACCACCGCTACCGCAGTCGGTGAAGGCGTCGATAATGGGCTGTCCCACACCGGTGGTGTTGTCCGAGCTGGCTCCGTAGTCGCAGACGTTGCAGGTCTTCACAGCGGCCTTATCTATAACGGAGGTCAGGGGTCCAACAGATCCTGTTAGTTGAGCATGGACCGAGTTGATGATGGAGAGCAAAGAAGTAGCCACGAGAAAGGACGTGGACCAGGTCATGGTGCCGGTGATGAGTGAGAGCGATATTTCTTTTTTTCTCTGGCGAAAATCAGCATTCCACAACGTCAATTATTCTTGACATCGACCGGAAAGCCAAACTTTCCCCGAGAGTCGACAGGAAATATATCTGCAAGCTCCTACCACCAAAACGATAGGCCCTGAGGAATAGGCATAGCTTCCGCAAAGGTATCAAATCCTACACGATCAGGAGTGTGATACTGAATAGGACTATTCAGTATCCGTCATAAAGCCCACGGACATCCGCAATGGCATGACTCGCCATAGGATGAGCTGGCGCAAGTACCACAACGTTGTCCGGACCCTGTCTCCACACGCTTCGATATTAACCGCGCACCGATCTTTCCGGCTGCTGTTTAACTCGCCCTGCCATGACCCGAACGGCACGGGGCATGGGAAGATGTTTTTGGTGTTATTATGGCCAGAGAGCCTGAGATAAGGAGTGCTTCCAGGTTGATCAGTTATATCTGCGGCTGGATGACGCATATAGTTGCCAAGGTCGAGAGGAGAAATCGGGGGATGTTGCGGAAGAGTCGGAGAGGAGACTGACAGGAGCTTAGAGGTTATCTCCACCACGGATCGGATTGGACCCTCCTTGGCTCCTAAGCGAGAAACGAGGAACGGTCCACCCGCCGTTGGTTTCACGAACACCTAGTTTAGTTCGCCCCTGTCTTTTGTCCTTTTTAGTGGCGCCGATAATACAATCTTCAAAAGTCAGTAGACCTCCCATACGGAAGAAATAGGCGTGCACGTGAGTCCATCACTATATACTAAAGCATGAGTTCACAGTTAATCTTCATATAGGAGCGGTGAGGGAATTCGCACATCGTTACCCGATCAGGACGTGGGGTAAGCCATAGGCTTACGTAGTAGTGTTCAGCAGTTCGGCGTTCGGGTGAAGTGGAATTTCGCGTAGGTGGAATTTTCCAACAACAATATTCGTCACATAGAATACCATATCAGATGGACGGCAGGAAGGAGAAGGGAATTAGGCGCTCTGACAAAGACTGCATCAGGAGAGCGTGAGGGAGATGCAAGATGTTGCCATCTATGATTGCTACCTTTGGAAGTGGGTTTGGTTCGGGCTAGCGCGTTTCCACCACGTCATCTGGTCTTCTAGATTTGATTCAACATTACGGTTTACTCACCTAAAATGAAATATGGAAATTTTAGTGCATCAGACCCACAGACAAACGTTCGACATGCAGTCACGGCGAGTTGCATGCAGGGAAAAGGGATGACTTTCAGTTGGAATAATCTAAACGTTTACCAAACAAACTACTTCCGGGGGTGGAGGCGCTACCACATGTACACATGTTCATATGATCACTTTTTCGCATGGCAACAACCTATGGAAGACAAAATATGCACTAAATGCACCAAGGAGCGTCTACATCTCGCCCCTGCTTTGCCAAAGACACCCAACGTTATGGTGACTGGTCTGATGATATATGTACATGCATTTTGAGCTGGCTATGCATTGTCCATCTTTGAGCTCGATATATTATGCCCCCGCGTCGCTCTTTCGTAGCCGATGCGCTTTAATAATACACGTATAATCCTTAGAAGAGTCATCCTATGTCCTAAGACTGCAGATATAGTATGCTTTTACGTCTGATGATTTCAGTCAGTGTCAAGAGCATGGAAGTACAAGATCTTTACCAGAAGCCGCAATTGGGAGGGTAGTGAAGAGAAGGCTTAGCCTAATGATGCCTTGTGTCAAGTCATAATAGGCGTCATTGCATCAAGACTATGGAGATGAAATCACCCTGCATGAAGTATGGTGGAAATGAAGACCGATTATCTGTGTAGCACATAATCCTAGCGTAACTCTGCAGAGACGTCCCACGTAGTTTCATGGCGGCTTACTGTCACAGAAAGTTTTATGTAATAAATCTGATGCAGAAAGATACAGCTAACTGCAAACTGTGAGATCGCACGCTATATTCACCCTGTGGAAGTTTCCTAAGTTGTCCGCGTACAGGAGAGAACTAGCCTAAGCATTAGCAGATTTTTCCCGGCCCATAGATTACCGTAGCCTAAGGCCTGGCAATTGATTATCTGGAGCGTGGATCAGAAGCCTAAAGGCGCAAATGATTGTTTTTTTGCTACCGGAAAATATCTCTGGCACGAATGACAAAGTAGAATTCTAAAGACGCCTTTTGAGAGTATCTTACGGTGTGCATGATTACGCAAGTTTCGAAACTTTGTAGAAGAAATCATCGTCGCCTAACTCATGGGCCTCAGTGGAAAGTTAGGAGTTTACAGGCAGACAACCTGGGCATCATGGGCTGGTCATAGCTTAGTCACCTCACAAAATTCATGTCCATACTCGGGAATTGCGTCAACTTGAGATTTTCACATATTGGATAGAGGTTGTGTCATAGATTGCGGCCACTTACGATAGTGCGATCGCCCGGTATCGAGCTCCCCAGCACTACCTGCAGACCGACATCTACTTGTTCCCACAGCATCACCAACCATCGCACAAGTTTCCTGTAAAAACATTCGAGCAGCTCCTGTGTCTGTTTGTGTGGCCATCATGACTGGAAAAGAGAACACGCGTGGTATTCTATCACTTCCCCAGGAACTGTATGATGAGGTACTATTTTCACCTCTGTCTTGCTACCGTAACTTGCTAAATATATGTTCAGGTTACCCTTTTCTTTGCAAATTTTGGCCTAGATCCCAAGGCCCGAATTACACGGTTGATGTGCTTGCGTTTAGTCAGTGTGCCGTTTAATCGAAGCGCCACTCGAGTTCTATTAAGTGCCGTACGCTTGAGTGTGGGTCGCCGGTTAGAGACGCCTCAACTCCTCCACGCGCAGTCTCCGAGCAGCATAAAGCCCATATTTACGAGCGACCTTTGTCATTCCATTCGATACCTCACGGTCTGTTCCTCTCAAGCGTGCACAAACACTGTGGAACGACCATATGGCAACCTTTTTCAATGCCTTCAAAGACTCCCTTCGTTACAGTACTTTGAAATTGATCACAACAATTACTACTCGCACCCGCAGGTAGATCTTATGCTTTTGGCCCTAAAACATGCGCACCGATACCTTCCCAGACTGAGAGGAATCAGAATCATTTCACCGTGGAGCTATCTCAAGGAGGATGGGCTGCCCCGCCTCTGCAGGCTCGAGGGTGTTCTACGCAAATACCTGCCCCAACTTCAACATATTGATATCGAGTTCGCCTCTTGCTTGTGGTTTACTTCAGGCAAACTTGAGAATCAAACTTTTCTTCCTCTTTTCCGTCTTGGCCGGGGGCTACGATCCATCAGCCTGGAAGGCCTCTGGATGGGCGCCAACTGTCATAAAAAGCATAAACCGGGACGTTGGTTGCACCCAGACGCTCCAATCGAGCGCATACGACTCCATACCATGGTTGTACCTTTTGGAGTCCTGGCAAGGTTATTGAGATATAAGAGAACATTGGTGAGCCTGGACATCATGGGTGTGTCTCTATCAACGGGTAAATGGGAAGACTTTCTCCCAGAGATCGACAAATTTCCGTTGTCATATCGACATATCTCGTACCATGGTTATAATGTACATGAGATATATAGACTTTGCAGCATGAAGTACTATGATCTCGTGCGATCTGATTATAGTGAGTTACAGCAGAAGATGCAAGCCTTGCCCCGGAGACGGAAGATGGTTCCAAGGCCACTTGCGCGATTTAGCGAGCATGGGCTTCGCTTGCACTAGGATGCACTATAACTATTCTATTTGCTCTGCTACTTCACTTTAGCTTGTTTGCTTCTAAACGTTCAAATTGAGTCAAAATGCCTCTAATAACCCGACTAAGGACATGTAGACCTAGTTATACAGGCGCTTTGCCGCTTGAGCCACGAGTATACGGAACTTAGATGTTACACTATACATGATTCTATGCAAGGTACTTTGCGACATGAGATGGACTCAATGTGCGTGCGCTTGCTTCTATGCTTACCCATCAAATTTGTTTTCAAGTCTATTCTCTTTGTTTCTCTTTTATTAATTGCTCTCCCCCCTTCTTGCACATGGAGACTTGAGCCCGCTTATTTGGCGCCTGAAAAAGGGCATTGTGATTTCGTTGAGAGTGTGAAGTTTACCCTAACCGTTGCATGCTGCCTCCTTTTCCTACGGCACCATGCTCTTCGTACCTCGCATCGAGAGCAATGCTAAACAACTTGACCGATGAACGGATGCACTCGTGTCCTGCCCTTCATTAATTTTCTTGATAACATACACTCAGTGCCTATTCACATGATTACTACCTGCTCTATATACTCGTTAGCCACCAATGCTTGTCATCCGTGCATGAATAACTCTCCTAGCTGACTGCTCTGGGAAGGAGCAACGACCACCACCAACTCCAACGGAAGGAGGAAATCATGCCCCCTCTCAGGTGCGGTATCTTCTTAGGTTCTCGATCCAGGACGCATCTCAAGTTCTGCTCTGTCATTATTTGCATCTAAACACCGTGGACAGACTCCTGCCCCCCTCCTTTCTCTATACTTTTGACTACAGATCCCGCAAGAGGCCATCCGTCCCCAAGAAGTCGTTCTATATAGCAAGTGCCAACATTCCTCGAGTGGCCTGTCGTGTACTAACTTCAACAACAATCTGCGCAGCCTCTCTCCGTTCCAGCACTCAGAGAGTGTTCTGGTCTCGTACTCAATCAGTAAGAAAATTCTACACTTTTTCCGTTCCAGCACTCAGAGAGTGTTCTGGTCTCGTACTCAATAAGTAAGAAAATTCTACACCTTCTCCGTTCCAGCACTCAAAGAGTGTTCTGGTCTCGTCGTCAATCAACAGCCAAATTCCACACTGTTTCTCCGTTTCAGCACTCAAAGAGTGTTCTGGTCAACTTGGTACCGGGCAGTTTATATCCGATACCCTGAAGTTTCTGAGCATCCTCGCCCTGCAATTGCCTCGAATCTTGATTAAGTCGGTTCCTGGTGAGTGGCACAACGTGCACATATTCGGGAATGAAACGTCTTGAAAACTGCTAACTCAGTGATATTATATAGTACACACATAACAATGGATTCGCAACCGAATTGGTCGCGGGGTATTAGAATACCCAGAACGCCGGCGGAATGGGCATCGATGGCTGGGGAGGTAAAAATGCCAGCGCTAGCTGAAAATGTGACCGACGAGGAGTACCCAGCAGGTCAACCTGTCTCCTCCCTGGACATGCATGACGTTGGCCATTGGGAATCTGCCTCAAAGGTTTCGGAGGCACACTTTCTCCTGACTCGATGTTTGTGGACGTTTTCCCACGCCAACTCGTTAGCCAAGTTTAAGGTGTACCCAGACCCTATGGTGAAACCATACGACCATGAAACCTACAGACCATCGAAAAAATGGCTTAGTGACAGGCAGGACTGGCAAGATTATTTGGATGACATCCGAGAGAATATGAACAAACGCCCGGACCCGGGACAGGCGAAGAGCCTTGGCGAATTCACAAGCACGCGACATTGGCAACTCTGTGTCCGGGATGGAGAGAAACAGGACAATGAAAGAGGCAATTCCCCTACTATCACAAGGAGCAGAGCAAAGCGAGATTTACCTTCAGTGGGAACGAAGATGGAGGTTGACGGCTCTTCTGATGCTCTTGACGCAAGTGCCGAATTGACGAACACTGTATCGAGGTCAAGCGGGATTTCCTATAATACTGCCTTCGGAGACGATGGTTCGGTGGACCGAATGAGCGGTGTTATGAAGACCTTGTCGAGATCAAGTGGGAGTTCCAATGATCCTTCCACCAGAGCGAGGGATGCAATGATGGACGAAATGCCCGAACTTTCGATGATCGAGACTAAGTCAAGTATCAGCTTGGGGGAGCTAACAAAGAAAATTTCCCCCCAATCTGCCACCGGAAAGGAGGAAGCATTGACTATGCGTTGCAGAACAAGCGACGAAGAAACGGTCAACATGGCCCTTGTGGAACTTTTGAGTGCATTGACAAGATGCTGTCCATATGTTTATCTGGAATGGAAAGCAGACAGACAGTCATTTGAAGTCTATCTAGGAAAGGCTCGGCTCCGTGCTAAGTCAGACGGTGGTTTATTCTCAAGACACTCAGACGTTTTTGCCCTTGTTGAGGTCAAGCCCTTCGTTCTGCTGGCGGCGCCCGAAACGACTTTGAGGCAAATATCATTGCAGATGGTCGCATGGATCGCGCATGCCATGAGAGAACCGCAAAACCGAAGGAAAGCGTATGTTTTCCTCCATTGCCGTACTCATACTAAGTCCAAGCCGTTTTCTCATACGCTGGCAGATACTACATGATAGCCGAGTACCGTCATGAAGTGTACATTATGATGACAAAACCGACGGAGCGATACTTAGCCCACCTTGACGGCAGCATGCCAGTCGTAAACCCTTTGGATGAAAGCACTTTTTTGAAGCTGTCCTGTTTCGGCCCGATTGACATTTACAACGCACAGCACGTCCGTGCACTCGGAAGCTGGTCTTTATGGGTCACGATATATCTCAGTGGGCAGTATCTCCAATTACGGCAGGCCAACAGAGCATCTGCATAATTCAACGCCTTTGCCCTTACGATACCTTTCCCCGCGGGCTGAGACACTGTCGGTGCTCCTCGTGTGCCGTATATTGAGATGCCATAGCCGGGCGCCACATCAGTGTAGCATCATGTTCTGCTTGGCCTTCTCTGAGTCATGCGCAAGTCTATTACCGTTTTGCTCACGGAAGACAGTATCGAGAATCGGAGCTGCCCATTCTTTGGGCCTTTCGGCGTACACTTCCTATATATAATAATGGCCATTGAGTTTCAAGTACCACTGTATTCTTCATTTTCCCACCATAGCTCATGGTCTCCATATCTAAAACCCAGAAAGACTTTCTTGGTGGTTCCTCCCACTCAGGTGCTATACAATATGCTAAGTCATGATTGCTTAAAGTTGGCGTAAGGCAGCCTGTGTGGCCTTGAATCCGGGTTAGAAGAAGACAATCTTGTCGAGTAAATATCATGCTCGAATATGTTTCATTTGAAGAGTCGTCAAGATCAAGGTTTGCGCGTGAATGTCGTGCGAGAAGTCCATCATTATCAAATTCCTCGATACCTTGAAAGCATCCCTGACGCATCCTGATCCGTTTCCCGTCGACCGTGAGATTGCTCTCGGTGATATGTCCAACATATTTTCGTTGAATTCGAACATTCCTTGTGCTTCTTTCAATCATCGTGCCTGCGCCACCTCTGCTTTTTTCACAAACAAGGGGAAAAACAAATAAGTACAATGGCTGTAAGTTTGGAAATTTCTTAGTCCTCTGGTGCTTGTACCATTTCTCGAACCAAGAGCTTAAAGTCTTCTGGTCAGTCATGTACTTATCACAGGTCATAATTATGTACCAAGTCCCATACTTACCACAGACCCTTATAGCGTGCCATGTGTCTGTAATATACACGTATTGATGGGGCGTCTCAGCGGATACTACAAAGAATTGGGTATTCGATGTTCAAGTGTGAGATGTCGCTTGACAGTGACTGAAGCCCGTCGATATTGAACATTGAAGTAAAGGAGGTACAAAATGGAGCACGATCACTGTACCCAACGAGAGGCATTTAAAAACGGGAAACAGACTTTTTGAGATCTGGTCGCACATGCAGTCGACCTCCATAGCGAACATGCTTCGCATATTATCCTCTGTATCATGAGATAGACTCGTAACTCCCGAGTGCACAAACTTGGATAGAATGCGTTCAGCTTCAACATTTTGCGCAGTTCGGCCATATGAGACGGATAACCCAGATCCATCATCCGATGCTTTTCAGGCACGCGAGCTTTTATAGCAAGATCTAGTGGACGTATGGGAGAACAGGCTAGGATGGCGAAAAACACGAAACGCCCCGCGCCCATCCTAGTAGGTACCGGTTGTGGTGAGCGTGTCCCATCACGGTCGCGTTCACGGCCATATCATACCGCATTGCTATTTCGCGAAAACATAATAGTCGACATAGGCCTAATTATCATCTTCAAGTAGGATTCAATATGCGAACCAAACGACTACTATCTAATCATCCAGACTTAGATCCCAGCCCCATCATAAGCATAACTAGAGAGAAAGCTTCAATGGCAAATTAACAAAGGGGCACAGGATTATGCTTCCAGTAATCATCATAGCAGTCATTTCTGTTGTAAGTACTGAGAGTCTGGAGGAAACTCAATGTGACGAAACAGGAGACACCGAATTGCGGAGATTGAGGTGCCGTTGTTCCAGTCAAATTTGAGCGTAGTCGCCTTTCAGAGACTGACATCAGGCGACCGGCTGTATGATAGTGATGTTTTGAGCTCCATTCGCCTTTCAGGGTGTATAGTCGGATATATCAAAGCAAAAAGATGTGGCTCAGATATCCGTAGGCCATAAGAAATGTTCCCCAAGGCAGACTGTATGGTGGCGATACCTGTGTGTATGGGAACTTCGGGCTTAAGAAACTTTCATGACTGGCGAAGATATGAGTTAAACCATCAATATTTACAGTAGGGGCACGTACTTTTCAACAGATTAAAACCATAGCATTGTTGTAGTATTGACCACAGAAAGTGAAGTGCATGGAGTTGAAAGTACGCAGTCCTATTTGCAACCGAAGCAGCAGGCTGGATAAAAGCTGTGTACGTTTATGGCGCCAGCCTATCAGTCTGTGTTGGCCACAGAATAGTCTAGCATAACCAGCCTTTCCAAAATTTATAGAATGAGGAGGGGACTGTCGAAGTGCATCGCTAGATGCTCTTTCTTTGTAAAAGGCGCTTACTGCTGGTATAGAAGTTGCACCCAGTACGTTCGTAATGATTCTGTGGGGTATATACTTCTTCGGAATTGCAAATAGTAAGATAGCTATAGTCAATGCTGTGAAAGCCTTTCTAGTCGAAACAGCTAATGCAAGAAAGATAGCTGAAACTGAGATTATAAGAAGATGAAGAAGGAGGAAAGGAGAAGGAGAGGATTGCTCCATATTTATATCTGCAAAAGGGTGCATTCATTGGTTTGCCAGCTAAGGGCTGGTGAAGCTAGGATGCTTGATGTGAAGGAACCATTCATCGCATACTTCTGATATGAAAGCATCCTACGTAATTCCGGCGCCTATCATCCAGCCACATGGCTGACCATGCTGTGCCTCTCCGGGCTTGATCGTAGATATGGACTGATCGGCGGCTTGGCTCTCCCTAAGCACCTTCGATAAGTGATGGATGATTCTTTCACTTGCATAGGGCAGTGATGTTATCTACGACTGCTGCAGTGAAGGAGTGGTTGGGGGTTGTACATGTGATAGACCTTAGGGCTTTTGCAGCTAGCTGCACTGTTAAGTATCTGGCAGATATTTCCCTATGGTTAAGGACTATTCTGATGACCTACAACTTGCGGAAAGAAGGATGGTAGTAGTACTTGCATCTGCCAGACCGCCGTGAGGTTAGTATTTGCCACACTGCTTCTACTATGGAATAGCATCGCTCTCTTTCAAAGCAGTAGACGTACCATAGTGGGATGTAGGCTGCTCATTTATTTTTATATGGACAGCATCTTGTTCCTTGGTCTAACACACGTTCTATGTGGACGCCTACGGAGGCTATTCAGACAGTGACTTCTTCAAAGCATGCGTCAATCCTTCTGTGAGGATTGATCGGTCCCACATCCAGCTAACCCTATAGGAGATGCGTGCTTCAAGTCTGTTGACCCGCGAATATTAGTCTTCTACCGGTATATAATTCAGACCCTCTCCGTTTCCTAACCTGAGAGATAGCTTTCGCACTAGTTGCTTTCGCAGCAAGTGGGAGAGATGATATTATACGCAAATCGTGATCTCAATTCCACTCAAGAAGCCGAGCACGAGTCTAGGCAATGTGGTATGTCGGCAGGTGAAGGTAGTGTTAAGCACTCTTATCGTTCCAGTCTGTATGACATGAGATGATTGCATGTACTTTATTTACCAATACTGGATTTCAAATAACCAGAAAGATGGAGAGCCCATTTCCCCGCAGTGGAATTGCTTTTTTTTTTTTTTTTTTTTTTTTTTTTTTTTTTTCGCAATCAGTAACATTCGGTCTATAATGACAGTTTGGGTTCGGTGCGATCGCAGTCCAATACAATAACTCCAGAGAGCTGTGCGATTTGAATGTCTTTGCAGAATGACTCGCGCGTATTGATATTCAGCCTTTTTACATCAAACCCTTTGAAAAGCCTCAAAGCAAGAACGAATCCCAAGATCGAGATAAGTTGGTTGTCCGATATACATCCATGTGGGATAAAGCGTGAGGAAGTACGTGCAAGGCCAAAGTGGTGGGATAACGTGAGGGGGGGTTGCGATGATGGACAAGTGGGTCCCACGGGAGGATACTCTGTGGGTCACGAGGCATCTACGAAAGGTTAGCTACGAGCGTTCTGGTTGGCCAATGGGACTTGGGAATAGCTTCAAGTTTAGATTACGGTATTTGACCGATACGGCCGAATATATCGATATATTACAGACCCCCCTATATAGCTTACCTTAGCTGCCCTCGCAACCTGACGGCCCGTTCCGACCGCAGGCGTCTCAACCAGAGTGTCCTAGCGGCGCTATATCTGAGTACGGCCATCTATCTATCTGTCTAACATCTCGGACGCAATATCGTATGCCTCCCAGGACCTAAGAAATGTGCATGCTCATGATCTGCCTTGATAAGTCTTTGGAACTCGCATCTTACGCATTCCAGTACATAGATTTTCAAGTATAATTCAATCATGATTCGGCGGAATGCATAAACTTGAATCCAATCCTGGCTGGCTTCTGTAAGCTAACGCACCAATTTAAACTACATCAATGTCAACACCTCCCCAACCCCATAACACGAACCACACCCCAATTCCAACTCCTAAATCTTAGCTCTCCCCTTCCCCTCCCTTCCCCCCATCCCCTCCTCAAACCAATAAAACACATCCCTAAACGACCCGGTCGGAAACACATAAAACCACTCCAACGGCTCCTCTCCCCGATTAACCACCCCATGTTCCGCATCACCTGGAATAAACAACACCGCTCCCGCAGAAACCTCATACTCCTTGCCATCGATGAACACAAGTCCAGATCCCGAAGTGATGTAGTATATTTCAGCTTGGGTGTGGCGGTGGCGACAAAGATGGCCTCCGTGCGGAGGACAGACTGCTAGACCGGCGCACATGTCGGAAGAGGGGGTTTGAGGGGAGGAGAGGAGAGTGCGCCATGTTAGGTGGCCGTGAGGAGGGTCGCCGAAGGATTCGCGGGGCAGGGAGGTGATGGTTTGACGGTGGTAGATGATAGGGTGGATTTCTGTTTTCGTTTCGGGCATTGTTGGGTTTAATTTGGTGTTTGGAAGGAGAGACGGCTGAGTTTGGTGGTGTTTCAAGTCTGAGATATCGGGGGATTAGTCCTACAAGTGGAGCATTTATTTATGACGTGGGTGAGTTGGCAACGGAGGGGTTCGGATGGTGATATGCAGGTTTGCTGCATGTATGTTGGGATAGTTGTAGTGCTTGATAATCTGATTTGTTCCATCCCGGACTTATATGCACTACGATTTCTCGGTTACCGGACTCGGCGACGGGAGGACTGGACGTGGGAAACTAAATGTCTTCAAGGCACTATAAATAACCCATCTACCCCTCACACATTATCTTCTCCGCATCAATGGATCAATGCATCAGCAACCAGCAATCCAGACCAAAGATCAACACACAGCGCCATAATCCCGATCGGAACCTGTCGGCTTTCCAGTTCCTTATCATTCACTGCAGCCGCATAAGAGATCGTCGCCACCGCTCCGGTGAGGTTAGCTACCTCCCCAACGATAGCCGCAGACCGCGCCGCACCAGCCTCTTCGCTGGTCAGTTCATACAAGTGGTACGATGTAACCATCAACTTGGGGATGAGGAGAAGTGACTTGAAGACAGCACTCACAGCCCGTCCGTCACTCGGCAACAAATCTGGGAACTTGCTCGTGGTAGTCGCGAGCTTGCCATACACGGGTGTGAATCCAAGAAAGCTGGTGGCGATGTCCAGTCCAAAGCAAACGCGCGACAGTACCTTCATACCTGAGTCTTTGATAGGATCCTTCGGTGCCAGGAGGTTTCCGGCCCCCACGCTTGCCACAACTATGAGCTTGATGACCGCTGCCAACGAGCTGAGGGTGTTACCCGCCGTCGGCGCCTCTGCCTCCAGGACTAGAACGATGTTGCCGATGAATAAGATCATCCCGCTCATTGCATTGGCGGACGTGAAAATGGACTGCTGGACGGTTGGGGAGAGCGCGCGTGGGGCAGTTGATGTTGAAGATAACAACTGTTCCAACTCGTCCCAGCTGCTCGCGGCGATGAGAGCAGCGGAGTTGTCATCGTCGGGAAATGGGGGCTCGTTGTTCACCACCTTGTATACAACGGTGTAGGCGACAGCTCCGATCCACATAAAAAGGTCCAAGAAAGAGATATCAGGGACGCCCAGGAAGTTCAAGATATCAGAGATAACGGGGATATGGAGCTTAGCATCCAGCAGGGACATGGCTTCATCGGCAAAGCTTTGGATGAAATCAATTAATGCATCCACTACTACCTGCGCGCTGGACAGTAATCCGTCCACGAATATGCCGGCTAGATGCCGCAGCACCTCCTCAATGCTCAGTGAGCTGAAGTCGGTAGCTAAACTCTTCAGTCGGCTGTAGAAATCTCCCAGGACCTCCCCCTCTGCGGACAGCGCGTCTAGCAGCTTAGTGACCAGGTCTTCAGCCACGCTTGCCGAGGGAGCATCACCGACGATAGTGAGATCACTGGCATGGTTGCGGAAATGGGAGGACAGAAGCTGTGAGCCTGATGTCTGGCCCTCCGCTGGATTGGCGCTGCTGCCCGCCGCCGTCTCGCTGGCAGGGTCCCCGAGCTTCGACCATTCCTCGAACCCAGCCCAGGAGTTGACACTCTGCTCCACAGCAGCCACACTGGAATTGAAATCAGTTTTAATCTGGGACAACTGGCTGATCTGGTTCTTTGTGCCCAAGATAACGAGGTTGTGTAGGATGTTCTTGGTGCGCCGGATATCGTCCCACTCAAAGAGAAATTGGACGAAGCGGATGATAGCCTCAATAGCCGTTTTGATGGCGTTGAACAGCCACTTAACAGCACCCACGATAGCCTCCACAGTATCCAAGACCGCCGCATACACCTCACCCGCGATATG